ATTTCAGTGTACTGAGATTTTCTGTGGTTCACTACAAAACCCCATTCACCCCTACTCCTTCATTTTTCAGAAGCAAATACTTCAAAATCCAAGTATATAAAACCTGAACAGCATCTACACAGCCACAACAAGTAGTAAGTAAGAAATGATTTATGTATGTACTGGTCAACCACATTTTGGACCAGATGTCACTATACTTGGTCTTTCCTTATTTTTTATGTTTGTCCTTATATTTCCAGTTTGGTCTCTTACTTTAAAACCAGGTCCAAAATGTTGGACAAATAAAAACCTCTGAAATGGATCCTTTAACAGGGGATTTGAACTACTAACCTCGGCTCTGGAAACGACACTCGTATGTCTCTAATTTCTTGTTAACCTACATCCCGTACAAGTAATTCTATACCTGCATCTAAGTCTCAAAGTCAACAAAGCTTGTGCAAGAAGCAGCCAGTGACCATGATGTGAGTACATTATGTTCAGAGTGATGAACACTTTCTGGAACTAGGCCACTTGGCATGAATTGAGGTTATTGATGGTCAGACTGGAGGATGTAATTCTGCAGAACTCGATGAATAGCTTGCTCTTTATCCAGTTTTCCTTGTGCAGAATGTAGATACTAGATTTGCGTATTTTCTTTGTTAAGGTAGAACACATAAGTAAAGACACAAACTGACATTTTACCGTTTTGCAGCTGATATCTGCACCAGTGAGTGTGCAATGTTTGTATCTGTGCTTGTGTGCATTCAGCCTTACCACCAGTATCACTGTCATGGTAGTTGGGATCAAAGCCTCTCTCCAACATCTTCGCCACTTTGTCCACCTGATTATGCTGAATGAGGTCCATGAACTTCCTCAGATTGGCCTGTGCAAGCACACAACAGAAAGAGCCATTACAGTAAGAAGAAAGAACAAATGGTGGTGGGTGTGAGAGAGCAAAAAAAAAGACAGGATACAGGTTCTGAGCTGCAAAAACAGACGGAAATAGAAGTTGAGCTAGAGAGAGGTGTAGAGGGTCAAACATAACTGAGGTGAGTTGAGAAGTGGAAACGTTTAGGAAAACAGTGCAAAGCTGAGAGACACTTGCAGATAAAGATGGAGGAATTTAAGGTGGAATAGAAGGGAAGTGAAAGCGCAGGAGGAGGGGACATGACAGGATTCAGAGTGGCGATTGTGAAGAGTGGGATGGCTGCTCCATTCTGTTCTGTTCTGTTCCGTCTGCTTTCTTTCCAGGCCACATGATAAAAATAGATAAGAGAGCAGCTCCCCAAAGGAGAGGAGAAAATGAGGAAAGAAGAATGAGATAGCAGAAGAAGAAGAAGAAAACGACAATGGGTAGCAATAAAAGAACGGAACGGAAAGAAAAGCACAAGAATAAATGAGGAGGAGTAAAAAGGCAGGAACATGGGGTGGGAGTTGACATGAAGGTAGGGTTGTTCTGATCCATTGTGTTCCCACACAGCACTTATTCAGGGCAGTGTGAAAGGTAGGTTAGTCTAATCAACTGATCAACAATGGATCAAGCTTCATTTAGCCAATACATTAGCATTACCACATGCCTGAGCAGGGTCTATTCCAATCCTGCATGTGGGATCTAAACGTCAGTGCTTTTTATTGCCCTCTAGCATACCTAGCCAGCCTGCTCCTGTACATTTAAATCTGTGAATCTGTTTGGGACATCCCTGCAAAAAGTTTTCAATTATTATTTTAAAAATTCGTTCTTCTTACAGATCCTTTTTACAGCAGGCATTTTGACTTGTCATAGCAGGAAAAGCACAGGTGAAACTAATTTGGCTCAGTTCTACCTCGTGTCCCAGTAAAATATAATAATAAGCCATCATGCACAATATCAGAACCCTAAAACTGTCCCAGCAATGTATCCATTTTCTTTCTCATTTTAGGTCATGGTGGCAGCAGGTTAAATAGGGCTGTCCAGATTTCCCTGTACTGAGCAACGTTTTCCAGTTCCTCTTGGTGGAACTTGAGGCATTCCTTGGCCAGATGAGATATATAATACCGTTGTTTCCCCCCAAGCTGGATGTCCCAGATTTCTACTTGGCTGAATCCCATTCTTTCAGTGTCTATCTAGAGCTCATGATGATAGGTTAGAGTTAGAACATAGACCGACAGGTAAATCAAGAGCTTTTCCCTCTGGCTCAGCTCCCTCTTCACCACAATGGTCTGGTGTAACGCCTGCATTACTGCTGATGCTGCTCCAAATCAGTCCGTCCATTTCACGCTCCATTTTCCCATCACTCATGAACAAGATCCTTTACTTGGCGCAGCAGCTCCCCCACTAACCAGAGGGACCAGTCTACCAGTTCCCATTCTGGCCGCTTCACACTTGGCTGCTAACTGCCCCAGTACGCACTGAAAGTCACACACTGATAAAGCAATTTGTCATTTTTCTGTGAGCTTGTATTGCTACAGTGAATTATTGTTTATTGCTCTTGATTGGCCACACATTTCCACATTACTGATGTCTTCATTAGCTATGAGATTTCATAGGTTTTACTAATCCACCGAAAACTAGCTTGTTGCTGAAAACAAAACAGATTCATGGATAACTGATTCAAATTGATTCAACAATATCTTTTAAGCACTACATGCAAAAACATGCTTTGTTAATACTATTGGTCAATTTTGAGATTTTAGGACGTTTTGCTCCCATAACATGTATCTTCTTTGGAGGAAAACGTCCAAAATACACATTAACATCTAGGTGTTTCTTTTACAGACCTTTGTCTATTGGCTATTAATGCAAATAAACACACACTAAATGAGTTGCTACATCATTTGCATATCATTTGCATATTCAACTTATTATGTAAAAGGAAATTGTCTTCATGTAAGTAATAAAGTGGGTGTGTTTTGTGGTGATTTCTGTGATTTTATTCTAAAAATAAAAAGGATGGAATTTTACAATGCTCTTGCTCTGAGCCAGAAATCTCCACTTCAAGGACTGGGAATGTATAATTGTATGAAAGGACTGCACTGTAAAGCCCATTGTACATGCTGATATTGTTTAGTGTTATATAAATAAGCTCTGTTATTTTTACTGAGACCATGAAATAATTTGAACGGACTCAGTTAAACAAAGCAAGTTTTACCACAAATACCACAATGAGTCACTGCAGTTTTAATACCTGGAAATGTCAGGAGTTCATGTACACGTCCTTGTTTTTTCATGCAATGTTTTCCTTAATGTAGCTGATATGTCCCCCGTGTGTGTTTGTGTGCTGATGTCTGCAGGCTTGGTGATTCAGAGTCTGAAGGATGGTGCCTTCTCTTTCTCCCTCTGTTTCTCCCTTTGCTGAAAACAGGTTGGGAGACTGACGGTTGATTGGCTGTCTCAATGTGAGCTCCAGCCAACCACGGAGCACCAGACTGCATGGCAAACAGGATTAGCTCCGAAAAGTTGGATCAAGCCAAGAAACAACTCGACATCTTTCAAAGAAGAACCACATTTTCCTACTAATGACTTTTTTGCAAACTTGTTTGAGTGCATGTTTTCATGTTCCACTTCCATATTTATAAAACATGTTCTTTTCTTTCTAGTTGGTTCCCATCTCCTGTCCTCTCTTCCCTGCATTCGGATGTAGAATTAGAGCAGCTGTCAGACAGTTTCCCAGTGTGCTGCTAACAGGGAGCTGCCAGAGACACTTATGCTTTGGCTGCACTACAGGATTAACAGTAGCTGTGGGACAGCAGCCCAGAGCTAGCCTTACACGGCGATGAAGAAGCTAAATATCTTCAATTTACTGTAGAAATTTCTTTCAATTCATGTGGGAGGGACAGAGATGGAGAGTAGGAGCAGTCTGCTGTTGGACTGCCAGGAAAGAAAAAAAGTCTCCTTGTGAGCTCACAGATTGTTCTTGACCATTGCAGAGGAACACAAAAGCACTAAATGAGCCCAAACTGACAGGAAAGCGTGTTCTTCCTTCACTATTCCCCCGTCACACAGTTCAAGCTGCCAAACCAAACATACACTAACACTCTCCTAATCCAATCAAACAGTGAAGCTGCTAAATAGAAAATGCAATCTGTGAGAGTGCTTTATTATTTCATTTTGGCATCGCTGTTGGTGTGAGGCAGTCATGGCTGTGGTGTTTTCACACCGCACCTCCCAGAGGCCGAGCGACAGTCAGACTGAGGTGGGCGGTCGTGTGACATCTTTTTTCTTGAATTTCTTTGTCTTCTCAGCTGCTCATGCGAGTTTGTCTCCGAGCTGGCAATGCTTCCCACTTCTACAAAACAGAGTCGAATAAAGGAAAGCTGACCAATAACAAAAGAGTGATTCAGCCGCCTCTACCCAGTTTCCTCAAAGCATTTATTTGCTGCTCCAAGCGCCCAGAAACTAAATCCTCTGGTGAAAACTGTGTGTTTTATCCTCCCAGATATACTTTCCAATATGCTTTTCCTCTGTGGCATTTTTTTAATACCCATTCAGTATAACTGTGCTGCTTAAAAGCTCATTGATAATTTCACGTGTACACAGGTAGAGAAAATGCTGTAAACAAATCCAAGTGTTGTGCTGCTGTATTTGCATAACCAGTTTCCTCTTGCAATCAAAGCCCGCTCTTGTGATACTGTGATAAATTATCCGCAGTCTCTGTTTGAGAGCAAGAGTGCATTTTCACAAAGAAAGGGCTTCCTCTTCTTGACAAAACTCTTACCTTTGTGTGAAGCTTGGCAATCTGTTTCTCATCAACGTTGGGCTGCCTGTAGACTCGGCTCTTGTAGCGGAACTGTTGAGAGAAAGACAAATTATTAAGAAAAGCTCCAAAGCAAAGCAATGGCTCCAGCAAGGCTTCTATTAAATTTCTGTTCCAATAACCGTATACGTTTGGGAGCCAATAACCTTTACCTGAAGACTCTCAGTCATACATTGTTTACTTTACACCTCTGGGTGCATCTCGAAAGCAATTGTTCCTCTGGAAGGAGGATCACCAGGGGATAAAGCCAAAGATGTGTCCTTTTTATTTACAGCACCTTTCATTACTTTCATTGTTTCTGCACTGGAAGACTGTGAAATTTGAAATTAGATCATATATATTTTCTCTGAGGGCTTTAGTATTTTGGGTCAATATTTCAGTTATGATTTACTTTAACAGGCCTTTGTCTATATACATACAACTCCTGTTCCAGCAGTTTCGTGTACCCTGTAGTAAATGAATCCAGTTGCACAGGTGCTGAATAGAGTTGGGTGGCAGTGCGGTATTATAAACCAAGTACACATTTATCAAGAGAAGGATTAGGAATACTAGTTTTCAACAATCTTCTTAACTGATACTCAGCTGCGTTTTTAATTAATAGTTGATTCATTGTTAAGACAACTGAAGTACAGCGGACACTTAACACGCGCTGCAAAATTGGCTCAGTCACATTAGCCATTGGCCTGCAGGAACGCTGTCCCCGTAACCTTCAGCTCGTCTTCTATAAATGAGTGCTGGCCAGAAGCCATGAACCATTACAGAAGTCTCCGTCATGGTGGCTCATTGCCAGGTATACACAATACTCTCAGTTCCAACACTGAAACTGTCCGTTGTTGAAGTGACTGCCTCCTCGTGTCACTACAGTGTTAAATACAGCAAACGAGCTGCAGTCATTAAACAGGTGGTGCAACCAGGTACTACACCTAATCTAAAATACATTTTCTGACATGCAAGCTCTCGTCTTCTGGCTTATCAGTTAATATATTTTCACCAACATCCCTAACAGGGACAAACTTTGATGAGAAATTGAGAAACTGTTACTCTAAAGAGTAAACATTGACCAGAATAATGCAAACAGCTAACAGCCTTACCAAAACTGTTTTAATCTGTAACTAATCACATGAAAGTCATTTTAAGAGATAAGATAAAATAAAACTTTATTGATCCCTTTGGTAGGGTACCTCAGGGAAATTGTCTTTACAGGTACATCCCGTCCAAGAACTTATATTACACACATTTACAAGCTCCTGTTCATTTAAAAGCCCAGTCTGCTCTGATTGATCAGCCCAATAAAAGTGAGATAACGTTGTTAGTAGCGTATTGTAACCCCAGATCTCTGAGTACAGGGATGTAGCTTGAGCAGGACATGCTCCTTTTTTTGAGGGTCAAACTGCTCCTGTGTGAAAATGTGCTACATAGTGATGATACAGAAGAAAAGCCTGGACTTCAAATGAGGCTTTTCTGGCAGGTAAGAAGCAGTGTTTACTGTGGGTGAATACAACTCCCTTTTGGGTGGACTTTGGGCTTTGTAAGTTTGCCATCCTTTAACATGCACAACAACACAAAAGGCAGAATATGGGCTCTTTAAATAATAATCTAACAAACCAACAGTTTACCTCCAAAGATGGAACGCCCTTGCTGATTGGTTGGGGGTACTCTCGAAGGATGCGTTCTTCATCCAGGAACTTGCCATCCCTCCCGTTGCTGGCTGGTTGGAAGAGCCCATAGTTGAGGACGTCCTTCAGGCTCTGATTAAGTGTACACAGGATCCGCTGCTTGGCAACCCAGACCGTGGCATCCGGGTTGAACCGCATGCATTTCTGGTTGAGTTTAAGCAGCAGAGTAGAGCGCGGAAATGAGTGAGGGAAGAAAAGAGGAAAAACTGATTAGAAAGTGATGACTTGAGTGTTGGCAGGCAGTTACAGCAATCAAAACAAATGAAATATTCATCTTGGAAATAATAAGAAAGCAAAGCAGTGTAATGTTATCAACTTGTGACAGACATTGAGAACCTGACGTCCAACTTTTGACTGACAGATGCAAATAGGTTGGGACATAAGACTGATGAGAGGATTAAAATAGAATCACAGAACAATGGTGCCCAATCAAAATGGTTCAGACACATCCAAATTGGTGCTTTAATAACACAAACCCTGCCCCAGTTACTACAAATAAACTATGGGTGCCACGTCGTGCTGGCAAACCTTTTTATTGTTTTATTATTGCAGTGCTACATGCTGAACAGGGCCACTTCGCTCAATGGACATGTAATTGACACAACCCTGCTGCCCCCTGGTCTTCCCCAGTTTCAGTGGAAAAAAAAAAACACAATACGGGATTTTTGAATCAGAGAGGATTATGGGCGCAGTGCCGCGGCATTCAGGAAGAGTCTATGAGCGTTTACAGCTGGATGTGCTGCTCAGTCGGCGATAGCAGCCCTGAGTCTGTGATAAAGGCTGAGGGGATGAGCAGGCTGTGAACTCTGCCACACTCTAATCCTCTCGCCTGGCGTGGAGTGGGCAGAGGAGAGTCGAGGAGAGGATGGGAACATGAAGGGTTGAAGGTATACAGAAGCAGATGTCTGGCATCTGGCCGGGGCTGTTTGGGCTGATATGGCCCTTTTTCCTTCTGTTGGTTTATTATGGTGGCAAATTTCCATCCGCTGCCATTATTGCTGCCTCCTCAGCTCTGGACAGAAGCTCGAACATATTTATTAAGTTTCCAGAGAGCTGGGAATCAATGTTTTTTCAGCGGTTATGGTGTGTGGTGGTGAGGGTTCCATCAGCACAGAAAGAGTCTTCAGTTCTTCAGTGGTCAAACTAGACAACACTTCAGGAGTGTTGAGATTTAGAAACACGACTGACAAGATGAGATACAATGAAGAGGCCTCTTGAAGTGAAGACCTGCTGTAATCCAACAAGTCAATCAATATCATCTCCACCATTTCTTATTGCTGTGTGTTGCAACCGGCCCAACAGCAGGTGTGAATATCCAAACTGCATGTCTTTGTTGACACCAGCAATAATGGAAGAAGTATTCAGATCTACATTACAAGTAAAAGTCATGCATGAAAAATCCTACCTAAATACATACAAGCAAAATGTAGTCCAAGTGTTACAGTGAAAGTACAGGTTTGATCCCTCTGACTGAAATATTGTTATATGGACCATCATTAGATGATTAACATTGAAGCATCAGGTTGTCAGCAGCAAGTTACTGTTGCAGCTGCTGCAGGTGAAGCCAGTTTGAACCACTTTAAATACTGTTTTAAATACAGAGATAGAAGATAACTCCAATGATTAATGGGGGAGGAAAGACGCTAAAAGTTCTGATACACAAACCTGTTTTTAGTTTTTCTTCAATCTTTGATTTTTGCTGAGATATTGGAACATTTGAACGTTTACAGAAATGAACCCATGTGAGAAATTTCGAGGGACAACTTGTGATTTGTTGGAGCCCCACTTGTAGACATCTGAAATGTGACCCTGACTATGCACTGATTGTTGTAAGAAGCCAAAAAGGTTGAAAAGCACTGTTTTTTTCTGTATGATGTGCTGTATTTTAAAAGCTTGTCATATCTATAGTCTGAAATATCTATCTTAAAAGTAACTACAGTTGTTAGATAAACTTAATGGAGTAGAAGGTACAATACATCCGTCTGAAATGTAGTAGAGTGAAGAATAAAGCAGTATAAAATGGAAAGACTTGAGGAAAAAAAAAGTACATCTACTTAAAAAACATACCTAGATACTTTCCACCAACATTTCCATAGAGCTGAAATCGTTCAACTTTGACCCCTGTTTTTTTTTTTTTCTTTATACCACCACTCTGCCACATGTTACCTGGAATCACAGAGCAACTTGGAATGACTGGAGACAAATTTTGCCCTTTCTCCATCCATTCATCGCCATTGCTTTTAAGTTTAAGCTCTTTAAATAAAGCGTCTAAAAGTGAAGTCATTACACAAATCACTCCCCTGTCGATTACAATCCACTGGGATCTGGTTCTGAGGCAACCTTCTGGCAAACTAAAGTTCTGTGATGGAGATGGTGAAAGTAAAACTGGCATGACCCATAGTCAGAGTGAGAATAAGACCCAGGGGGGGAAATACGCCAGAATTTTAAGCCCATTTAAGGTGATTTCAGACACTAAACCATTGCTGTAGCTACTGCCTTTGCATGACATCAGTCTTGGTTTGGCGATAGTTGGGTTGAGCATATGACCATAGCAGGCAGTGAAATCCTAAGCGGCTTTCCAGTGTTCACAAACCCTCCATCCTCCGTTATCCAAGCATTCAAAGCAACAGTCTTGCTTGTCGAAACTCAAATCTGCCACTCTGTCCAATCTTTGAATTATTAGCAGAAATTATCTATGAAAAGATGCCGTCTCCATCTGGATGTAAGAACTGTGTACTGGCATGAGATGCAGGGGGAGATAGATGAGATAAAGTGAGGAAAAAAAGCTTATTTGAGGACAGTGGAAGATTTGTGGAAGAACCAAGGACACAGAAAAGTTAGTGGGGACAAGAAAGCGTTGCCACTCCCTGCATCTGCCTGTTTCGATCCAAGATGTCTTTGTAGTTTTGGCTTGTGTGAAGTAGTTTTGGCTTGTGTGAAGGAGAGGACCAGCTGCTTTAGTCGGGAAGCTAATTGATGACAATTTCCGAATGAAATCTAGTTAAAAGATAAGGAGTTCAGTGTTTGGGGAAAACACGTATTTGCTTTCTTGCCAAGAGTCAAATGAGAAGATCAAGATTATTGTCATGTGAATGAATATGCAGGTGGAGCCAGGAGGCGATAGCCTAACAAAATAACAAGAAGCTGAAGGACAAAGTGAGATCCATATACCTTTGCTGTAGCCAGTTTGCACTTGTGGAAAGTAAATAAGTACGTTTTACTCTGGTACAATTTTGCGGTACTTCACTTGGATACGTCCATTTCATGATACTTTCTCCTTCCACTGCTACATTTCAAAGCGAAAACATTGTACTTTCTATGTTTAACATACACAGATTTTACAGGTGTTGATAGCAAACAGCTGTATTGATTAACAATCACATCCTATAAATGGGACTGCAAGGTGGCTCGGTGGTTAGCGCTGTTGCCTCGCTGCAAGAAGGTTGCCGGTTTGCGTCCCGGTAGGGGCAACGGAATCTTTCTGCATTTGCATGTTCTCCGGCTTCCTCCCACAAGTCCAGAAACATGTTGAGGTTAATTGGTGATTCTAAATTGTCCGTAGGTGTGAATGTGAGTGTGCTTGGTTGTCTGTCTCTAAGTGTAGCCCTGTGATAGACTGGTGACCTGTCCAGGGTGTCCCCTGCCTTCACCCTGAGTCAGCTGGGATAGACTCCAGCCCCCTGCGACTCTAGTGAGGATTAAGCGGTGTATAGATAATGGATGTATAGATAATGGATCCTATAAATGGATGAAAAACTAGCAGTAAAATGTTCTCCCTGCAGAAGCTAACTTCTGACCAGACAGCATCGCAGCGTCGGAGCTGGAGTATATGCACGTGTTGTGAGACTGTGTGTGCTTCAATTATTCAGCTGCATGAGTTTGATTTCAAAGTGGCCTGTGGGACTCAATCATGTGATCAAGTGGCACCGCTGAGTGCTCAGTGATGAATGTGAAATCAGAGGCATTAGTGCATACATGTGAGAGGGCTTAGCGCACATGTGAACACACACATACAACCACACAGCTAATTACATCAAAGGGTCATGAGTTCATCACTGGGTCAATGCTGTACCATCCAACTTCACTAGATTACACACAATCATGCACACACTCACACACGTCTCCTTTATTCTCTTAAGATTTGCTATTCAGTAAGTTACCACAGCTTTTACAAAGTGCTCTGAAGCAGCTGCTAATGGACGTAAAGTATACAACAAAGCTGCTCCCTTGGACTCGAGTCAGATGACTTCTCCAGATCATATGTTTCACCGTTTTTTTTTGTTTGTTTTTTTTTTTTTTAGAAAAGGAGTACTATCGTGCCATAATATTCCTCTTCTGCAGACTGGGAGTCATCTTGGTAGACAGTATTTTGGTATTTCTACAGGCATTCATGGTGCCACCTACAAATGTAATCTCCTCAACAACTTTTCCACTCATGCAACCCCATATCATCACACTCCCAACTCGTGCTTCACTGTCAGGACTATGCATTCACTGTGGTGGTCTTGGTCACATTAATTGCAAATGTGCCGAACCCAAACTGAACCGAAAAAATTCACCTGACAAAAGAATGGGTTCCCAATATTCATCAGGTTTTTTTTCATGTTCTTTAGCAAAGTTCTATTTCTATCAAAGTTCTATCCAAAGAGCAAGTTATTTTTTTGTTTTTTTTATTCTTGGATGCCGTCCATATAGGTCGACATTATGTAATGTCCTTCACACTGTCTGAGCTGTCACAGTAACTCTGATTTCCACTGATAACCCCTGTGCCACGTCTGAACTACGAGCCCATCTATTTTTCAGAGGTGGACAGTGAATGTAGCACACTGTCTGTGGTGTAATTTTAGAGAGACAAACACTGCAGCTCTGATTAATGGTATTACAGCTAATTCTATGCCTCCAGATTACGGCTAGACTGTGTTTCCACTGACTTTTAGCTGTTGATCAATGTTCCTGTATCGCTTTGTCTCTTACAATCAGATATTCAGTTCCTCTTGCAATTTTTTTTCATGTGGAGCCGTGATGCTGACATCCCAAAGCCAGAACTCACAGCTCCAAAACTGAGCGTGAGGTATTTTGTAATCACGTTCATGCAGTTGGGCTGATTGGAAATCACAGGTGGACTCAATTTAGTTTGGTGATCACACATATTGTTGCATTGAGTTTGCACTTTCAAGCCTTTTAAATATCATCTTTCTGAAGTAGTTTTTATTTTAGTTTAATTATTTTTCACCTCTAAGATTCTGCGAATACTGACAAGTGTTGTACTTTGGAATCTTCTGACATTCAAGTGATCTTCTGTTTTAAACTGTTACTTTCCTTGTGTTGGCGTCATCAGGGAGGAATTTAACAACGTGACTAACGAGAGGTGCGTGGTGAAAAAGAAAACTAGAGTCAGAATGGAGGTAAACTCTGTACAGAGGGACATCAGGTGGCTGAAAGCGGACCTCTACCCAGTTGTTGCCATGCTGGCTCCTCTCCCTTTCTTCTTCTTGTGGGCTTCTGCTTTGTTCTGCCTGCACATGATGAGGAATTGCTCATTGTACTGTCATGGAAATCCAGTGTACAGCTCTCAACCCCCGAGGAGATACACACATCAAACAAATAGCTACAGTACAAAGCTCCATTAGACCCACATGAAACTACTGTACAGTACCTCCAGCTGCTCTTCCACAGGGAGTTACACTTAGGCAATGCTGGTCTTTGATGATAAACCTTTGCATCCAAACCTTCACTAGAACTGACAGCAAAGCAACATCCATTGACAGCCACAGCCCATGTGCTATATGATCTGTGGTATATACAGCACCAGCATGTGTAGCACGCTGGTGCTGTATATATGGCCCACATGGGCTTTAGAGAAACAAGACACCACATTGTCATCCTGTACTGTACACCTGGGGCTTCATTAAAAGCCACAGTGTGCAGCTAATGAAAGCATGGTGGTGCTCTGTAAATGAAACTTTCACAATTCCCACTGATTAAATTAACAAAACGCATAAATCATTCACAGATTCCATTGTTAAAGTTGCGTCGGTAATACAAATGAATTTCCGGCTTGACTTGGAGGCTGTCAGTGGTTAAAGTGGTGGTGTTTTTATTCTAGGTCTTCGTTAGTTCAGTGAGGCTGAGCTCAGGCTCATGCAAATTTCTGAAACTAGTGTAAAATCATTGAAAAGCAAATACAAAATGCATGTACCCATGATATACAGTTGGTCTACATGGAAAAGAGATCTCAATCTCAGTGAGACGACCTAAATAAATAATGGTTTTACTGTATATGCTGATCACCTGATTAAAACAGGCAGCAGTTTGAGACTGAACTACTAAGAACAACTGAAAGAAACGTGGAGTAAAGCAAGTTTGCAACAGAATTCAGCATCTACAATAACTAAAACAAATGACAAGGATTTAAAACTGCACCTAAAGACATACATCCGATATGTTTTATGACCATCTTGGGCTTCAAACGTCAAACTTTACCACCACACAGTCAAGGTGTGATGAGCTGATACTTGTGATCAAGCAGACTACATGAAATACACTCATCATCTTTTGATATAAGAAACAGACACTCGCCGGACACTTTATTAGCAACACCAGAGAAGTCTAATTAAATCCAACATCTCTGCCATGAATTCTACTTTTTTAGGGCTTTTACATTTTCATTTTGTGGTGACGTGCAAAAGGTGATGATTCTTATCACTGAGTTCCCAGCCTGTGGTGGTGGTGGTGCACTGGACTGCTTTGCAATTAACTCTCTGGACCCCAAATAATTACTTTTAAAATAAAACAAAAATGACCCAATTTACAAGAGCCAAAAACTGTAAGAACTGAAAGAATCATTGGATTTTCAACTTTTCAAACAATACTAATTTGACCCATCTCTGAACTTTTGTTGTTTTGTTGTGATGCTTAAACAAATCTAAGCTTAATGACTGTGATCATTTCTCAGAAATCACTTTGTTCTATGTCTCCTTTAAAAATTCTCGACTGTGAAGCCATGACTCACCTGCAACCCACAAAAAAAATTTAAAATGTAATTAAAAACTGCAAAGTTGTAAATTATCTATAGTATGTAGCGCCACTATTTTTTATTTTTTTGCCATTCTTGGTAACATTGACTGACACTTGGAAAAATGTTGAACTTCAATGATTTTTTGTAAAATTAATAATCAAAGAAATTAAAAGTTCATTTTCCTTTTTTTATGATTTATATATTGCAACTGTGTCATGCTGAGAAAAATACATTTTTGACTTTTCTCTACTTCTAGCTATGGTTGTACTGTTTCCACTAAGGAACAGGACTTTATATTGCAGTAAAAAATGAGCCCATAGTGAGTAAAATGTAACTCGGTCTTCTCTTCTGCAGGTGCTTCCCACTGGGCCATCCCCAACCTCCACTTAACGAGATCTTTCCAGGTAATGTAACATCATCGTGGGGCATTACAGTTGTGTCACCCCACTGGTCCTCTTCTTTGATGTCCAGAACTCGGTCAACTGACTTCTGAGCTGTTGTTAAAGCTTGTTTAGCGAAGCTGGACAGGTGAGACGCGTTGAATCAACTCATTCTGGTTATTAGGCTAACTAGCTAGCAAGTTCAGAATTTGTTGTACAAATCCTAGAATGAATTTAACTTTTCCACCCAGGTACTGTCACTTTATCCGTCTCTGCATCTTCCGATAGTCGACGCTAACCTGTTGCAATATTTCGCCAAATTGTAGCAAAAAAAACGCTCAGAAGCTCCTTGGGGTTCTGAGGGCTAACTTTGGCCTTTAAAGGTGTTGGGTATCTTCAGGCAGAGGCAGGCTAAGCTGATAGCTTATTTATTAAAGGTTTTCCTCAAAATGTCAACTTTTGCTTTAAACTGAGCAAAGCCAAAGACTTCCACATTCACATGATGTATTTGGGGCAGCAAGGTGGAGCAGTGGTTAGCACTGTTGCCTCGCAGCAAGATGGTCGCCGGTTCACGTCCCGGTGAGGACACCCAGGATCTTTCTGCGTGAAGTTTGCATGTTCTCCCCGTGCAGTGTGGGTTCTCTCCGGGTTCTCCAGCTTCCACAAGGTCCAAAAACATGCTGAGGTTAATTGGTAATTCTAAATTGTCTGTCGGTGTGAATGTGAGTGTGCTTGGTTGTCTGTCTCTAAGTGTAGCCTTGTGATAGACTGGTGACCTGTTCCAAGACCAAACCTGATGATGATGTATTGCACTGATCGATCCTGTGTTATCTTGTATTGTTTAGTATTGAACCATGCTGCGTGTACATGCATATTTATGTCCCTGTCTTCATTCATTGCAATTCATTGCTACAAAATCCAGTGTCTAACCCACAATTATTTACCATCAGATATTTAAACATGCATCCTCATGTTCATGCAAGTCTATATTTCATCCCCCCACATGCCGCCTACTCAGCCCCCACACATTACTGCATGTTACTGGGGAAAAGACACCATGTGAATCCTGCTGGACACAGCTCAGTTCAGTCAGTGGCTTTACATTAAAACGGTAAGTGAATGATTCCTGTGGCCAGCTTACCAAAGTACCCCATTTTTACTAACTGCAGGCATTGCAAAATAAAGTCCTGCACCTGTATGGAAACAGCCCAACGGTGGCTAGAAATGTAGAAAACAAACAAACAAAAAAAAGGTCTTCTGTGCGGTATGGAAACAGTTATGTCATAATTCTTAAAATAAAAAATAGAGGTCAAGTTTTTTGACTATTTGTTTTGCAAAAACTGAAGAAAACCTGGAATCACCATGTATAGCATTTCCTCAAGTGCCCAGAGGTGTTAGGAATACTTGACAAAATGGGATCTTGACATATTAAAGATAGGCCTGTTTACATTTCTACAACCTCTACAAACAAGACGTTTTTCACACTGTTCTACACATAATCCCAAGAAATCCACCTGCTGATAGAATCCTCCAACAAGTCATTTGCTCCTTTGTATGCTGTTCTGGAGCCATGCTGCATCCATTTTATTGATGGAGTATGTTTTGTTTCCCTCTTGTCATCTGCTGCCTGCAGTTCACCAAAAAGTCACAGAATCTTTGTCATGTGACTGTTGGCCACAATTATGTCAGTCATGCCTTTGCAAATGGTTAATTTGTTGCATATCACAATTTTGTTCAAAGACAAGGTAAAAAAAAACAAATCAGACAAATCCTTCTGTTTTTACAGTTTCTAGCTGATAAATAGTGCATTTTAGCTTTTTTGTTTTTTTTTAAGAAAACATGCCTTTCGATCCCGTCTGCGGGTTTCAGGGTTTAAAGGGATAAACGGCAGGCTCCTTCTAACAGGTTTTTAGAGGCAGATAATTAATATGCTTGCTTCTTCTAAAAGCTTTCATGTGCTTTAAAGGTAAATCTTACATGAATGGAAGGGATAAGAACGCGTTACAACTTAAAAGAAAGGTTATCACAACACTACAAAGGGACTGCGGGCCTACTAATGAGTATAAACTGAAATAAAAAATGAAGCTGATGGTTGTATGTTAACGAGGGTATTTCATCTTATGGCAAAGCTCTTTGCATCTTTCATGCAAATGTGTTTTATCTCTGTGCTGTACGTCGCTGAGTTTTTTCTAATTAAATCGTAAAATCTGGGTCTAGTGATCTAAAAAGAAAATACTATGAGTATCAGAGAGTGCAGTGGAGCACATGTGGGACTTTGCAAAATATCTGGAAATGCTGTTTCTACTCACACTCCACTTCATGTACATTTTTTTTTTTAAATGTATTTTTGAATATACCTGTTTGCTAAATGCATGCTGACCTTGATTATAACCCTCCACAGTGGAGTTGAAAGTATGAGTGCCTTTCCAGCAGCTCTAATACATTAACAGTACTGTGTTGTGCTTGAGGTCACTGTGGACCAGCTCCCAATAAAAGCTTTTAGGCCATAAATGAGGCTATAGGGTGTTGAAACACACATCATTAATTCACCAGTGGGTTTCACCAAGAAGGCTGGATAATCAATACTAACGTCAATATTTATAGCAAATCTAGTTCATGTTTCTCATCGACTCCTACACATTCACACTCCGTCCTCCACAGATGCTCACCGTCTGCTGCAGGTCGGGAATGAGGACACGGATGACCATCGAGTTTATGTGAATGTCGTCCATGCGGCTCTGCGATGGCTCGGCCGTGGCCCTTATGGTCTCGTAGATGGTTTCTTCGCGGGAGCTGTCGGAGGCACAGTCGTCGGAGTAGTCGGAAAAGCTCTGAGCCATCTCATCCTCGCTTGAGGTGGGGCTCCGGGGCATAGTAAGCAGGCCCGACGGATTCAGCTGAAACAGGCGAAGGAGGGGGGAGAAAGGTCAGACACTCACAAACGGTTCATTAAAAAGACGAGGCATTAAAATTTAAGAATTCCCCCTGCTCCCATTAGACACCTCCTGTCACTTTAGAGAGCCCCCAAACATGGTGCTTGTTAGTTTATCCTCATGCAGTCGCAGCTTGCACTGTCTGCTCCAGGAAGCTCCCAGAGGAGCTGATGTGACTGAGCGAAAACGTTTGCTTCATTAAGATTTACCGTATGAAAGTAAAAGAACTTCAGGAGGGCGAAAACCACCAAACATATCATACAGCCAAAAAAGGTCCAACCCTTGAAAATGTGGCAGATCAACTGTCAGTACTCCATTAAACTGAGGCGTCAACATGATTTATGGATCATCAGATGAAACACGTAACATCTCATCAGTCACTGTTTCCAACCACGCTCTCCCAAGTGGCCTGGGCAGAATTAAGACATCTAAAATAACCTGATACCTGATCTGATCAGACAGACGACAACCGCAGCTCCCAAGACACCAAATCACAAAGCTTAAAACTCTATTAACACTGGATATTTCACTTCAAGTTCTGGTTGAAACTGAAGACCATAACTTAAACATGTAGTAATGCTAAATAAACAGGATACGCTTGGTTTCTTAAAGACAACAAAAAAATGTATTCCTTTGCAAGAAGCACCTTCCACGTCCAACTCTACACAGTCGGTTGTTATGGCATAATTGTACACTTTAAAAAGTACTTCAGGGGACCTATTCCTTGTATTTAATAAATGTATAGCAGCAAGATAAATAATAATAATAATGATTAAATGATTTAGACAAACCTTTTAAATTGCAAACATTGTTTTGCTGGGTTGGGTTGACATAATAATGTTGGTAATTACATTAACATAATGTTGTATATTATTTAAAATCATATTTTTGCTTTTTTTTGCAAGTTGATGCAACTAAATGACATTAGCTTAATAACTACATTTTTATTCACGCAATTTAAACTTTTAAATCTTCCAATATAAACCAAACCATGCCATTTTTATGGCTTTTAAGTACACAACACTTCAAACAATCACATTTTATGAGTAATCAGCTAAAAACTTGCCACCAATTTGCTAATCATTACTGATGATAATGAAATATTGCACATGAAATCTAAATATTACTCATGAAACTCAAATATTCCACCTGAAAAATTAAATATTACAAGACGCATATTTCATTAAGAGTTTTTATTGAACATTGTGCCTTCAGGGACCTTGTATCATGTATCGCTTGTTTTAACTCCAGTGGACGTTATCCAGCATGAACGCATCAACATGTCAATATTGAGCCAACTGGACATCGGCCTTACATGACAAACACTATTCGATTACATGAAATTTACATGCTGTGTTCTATACATTACACAGCAACATGACATGTGATTATTGGGTGTGATCATCCTTCTGTGGACCATCTGATAATGGTCGAGGCCTGAAGATGTCTACATGAAAAAGAAAAAAACCTTGCCTAAGATGCTCCCTTGCCTGGAACTTTAAAAAGTTTCAAAATCTACAAAGACAATCATCTCCGGCTCATCTTTTTCTCATCATATTAGAAGTTAAATGACTGAATAAAGTGTGAGCTGAACCGACTTCATTCCCTCTTGATCACTTACATTAAACACAGAAGCTAAACTTGATTGAATCACTGCAGCACCATCAGCGTGAGCATTTCTCTTCATCACCACAGCACTAGAAGAGTCAACCCATCCTTCACTTTGCAGCCGTAGAGTCCTGACGTATTTGGTTTGATAAAAGACGGTGGCTTCACTCGGAGAACCGAACGGCTACCAGATGAGACACTTCGGCTGCAGGGCCATCTGAAATGGTCCAGACTGAGTGATGTGTGCCACCCTGCAGCATCTGTGACGCTCATCCCGATATATATATGTGTCCATTAGCTGAGGTGTTTGCCATTGCGCCGCGGTGTTGTCCCAGATTGCTGATGAAAATGTTCTGTGATAACAGCAGATAAAGGTCACCATTTCTATCAGCTTTCGGTGACATGTGTGATGGATAGATTTTCCTTCCGCAGATTACTTTCAGTTCTCCAGATGCACTGTGGGGGGTTTTTCCCCCATCTAAATATAAAAAAACTATTTCACTGTGTTTCCTTTGACTATCAGAAATTTATATAGAAAAAGGGTAAAAAAAAAAACAGGTGATAGAAAGGACGACGTGTGTTGTTAAAATAAGGTGTTTAGGAAATTGCCAATTTTTACATCAATTTGAGCAGCCGTTTCTGGTTTACTGGAACATGTTGCACATTTTCATTTTCGCCTCCTGCCGGGAACTTCGCACTAATGCTGTATAATTTTCTTTCAAGCTTTTCCAATCAGCATGCGGCCAATTATATACGCACTCTAAGTGAGCGTCATGTGGCGTTTGTGTATGCGAACATGTGTTTCTGCTTGAATGTGGGTCATACATGTGCTTACTGTGTGCTGTATAGATGCATTAAATATGCAAAAGTACTGACATAAAGTATGCACAAGACACAACTGATTTTTTCATACGCTCATATAAAATTAAATCACTGATATATGAAAAGGCTGGCTGTCTATAGCATCCAGTAGCACTTTTTCTTGATGTGTAAGCAAGGGTGTAATTCCCTCTTGTAATGGTGAGGACATGTTTCGCCTCGCTTTTAGTGTAAAGTGATGAAACCTCCTCTTGTTGGCCAGACTGGTAGAAAAACAGTCACCATGTGTCAGTAAAATAATACAGAAAACAGGCTCAGTTGTATGTTTTTGTTCCCCTTTTTGCAGGAAACCTTGAAACACTTAAACAGTGACTTTTAAATATGTATGAAGCACATAGATGTACATTAGCCAGCCACTTGTGCGACTAATTCGTCCATAACCTTGTCATCTAAAAGCAATACTTAGCTTAGACTATTTTGTAGAAATCTGTTTTCACTTTGAAATTAAAGTCTTTTATAAATTCTTCTGTTAAAAAAGGTCAAATTAAATTGACTATGATTCAATGATAAATAGCAGAATTGGAATGGGAACTTTCCCCAGGTGCAATCGTTTGGTTTAGGAGCAGGTATGATTTCGGTTGACCAAGATTTTGCGTGGCTGAATACTGCCCCAGTCATCCCCACTTCTGAAACCAAAGCGACATGATTCCATATTATTCCCAGTGTATGCGAACAACACAATCATTACACAGCACTAACAAACACACGCAGCCACACTGATTTCCAAGCGATGATTATCGAGCTCTGCAGCGTGATTGTCAGAGGAAACACGCTAATGAGGCACATTCCTCCCAGTCGCACACAGGGTTTAACTTCCAATGCCCAATCTGCTTCATGAATCCTAATGCTTTGTTTCACCTGCAGCAAATAAAAAAAGCCAATCAAGGACACAAATAAATCCTTCTTGTCACACAAAGCGATAATTATCAGCTGATTACCATGCTAATTCATTCATAGCCAAACCATTCCCAACGACAATGCTCAGCAGACATGCCTGAAGACATGTGGTTGCATGAAAAACGTTCAGTGGTCGAAGCTTAATAGCATTTGAGTTCCTTTTTCTTTTTTTTAAATGAAGTCAAGCTAATTAAGACTATTGAATCTGCTAATTGCTACAGCTGGTTATGTTTAGAGTGAGCCATACATTATATTTTCTGGCAGGCTGAGGTCTTCTTCATTAAGAGAAAATAAAATAAACACTGTGACAAAACTAAAGTAAAATGAAATGATCCCAGAGCAAGTTTTTAGCCTCATTAACAGATTTCAGGGAAAAAGCTGTCCAAAGGACTGACGCAATCCCACAGTGCGGTCTGATTTTGGGTCTGATGACATTCAGACTGCTGAGTGACTGACAGTTTTCAGGAGATTGCACCAGCTCCAGAAACTTTGACAGATCAGCCTCATTAACCTGATTCGGCAGCGTGCACACTGTGACATCTATCAGGTTTCTATTGTACACCATCAAATCAGGAAAACTTCTCTAGGGGGAAATTCACCTTTTCTTCCTCTGGCTGCTTTTGTGAAAGCAAACGTGTGAAAGTGTGTGGAAAAGACAGAGGGAAAGGGCAGGTGACAGGTTTGTTTTTTTCTCACCGCCTTCAAACTAAACACACATACAGCTGTGTCCACTGAAACCAGGCTATTTCTAGTCATCCTGGATTCATATTTCTGCCACACCAGTCCTTCTCGTCATTCAGTGGTGTGACTGAAAAGATGAAAAAGCTTTCTTGGAGACTTTCTAACACTGGAGGTACCAAGGAGAGTATGCAGAGTTCAGTAATGAACACAGTAATTTGCTTTGATTTGCATGAGTCGTGTGTGTGTGTGTGTGTGTGGATGTAAGACAGACAGCAGGAGAAAGATGGAGCAGAAAAGCAATGTTCTCCCGAGTGAAAATCTCTGACAGAAATAGGTTAGAGGTATGCTGAACATCTCTAAGGCTAACACATAAAGCCATTAAAGCAGCACTCAGTACATTGTCTGCAAGCAGTGGTGTTGTTATGACTCTGTACAAAAGCAAGTGGAGTCTGTACCTCCAAAAATCTAAAACCATGCTTAAATTTGGCAAATTATTCCCACTGAAGTAGTGTCCTTGCTCAGCGATACACTGCTCCCAGTGCTGCTGCAATGCTTGTAATGGTCCCTGGAAGCCCTGTTATGCAAACATGTCAAACACTAGCTGTGGTACCTAGATGCTTCTTGTAGGGACCAGTGGAGGCCTGTTGGCAAGCAGCAAGCCCTGCTGGAGTTTAGCCAGTAAAGTAGCACTGTGATGGAGACCTGTATGAGGCTGACTGCTGTCAGGGCATTAAACTCTTGTTCAATTAAACTTCAACAGAATGAAACAATGATCTACATCCCATTGGGACATCCTGTAGTCTTTCTTACAAAGCATTTTTATGTGTCTGTGTGCAAACAGATGTAAAGAAAGACCTGGACATAGGATTGTGCAG